AGGGAGTATTTAGAGAAGCTGAATGTGTACAAGTCCATGGGACCAGACGTGATGCAGCCGAGGGTGCTGAGGAAGTTGGCCAGTGTGATTGCAGAGCCACTGAACATTACCTTCAATACAGACAAGGGCCAAGTCCTGCACTTAAGACAAAACAATCCCATGCACCAGTACAGGCTGGGGGCTGACTGGCTGGGCAGCAGCTCTGCAGGAAAGGACCTGGGGGTTACAGTGGACAAGAAGCTGAATATGAGCCAGCAGTATGCCCTTATTGCCAAGAAGGCTAACAGCATACTGGGCTGCATTTGTAGGTGTGTTGCCAGTAGGTCAAGGGAAGTGATTCTTCTGCTCTATTCAGCACTGGTGAGGCCATATCTGGATCCCATATCCAGTTTTGGGCTCCTCGCTACAGAAAGCATGTCCACAAATTGGAGAAAGTCCAGCAGCAACACAAGTGGTTAGAGGGCTGGGGCACATGATTTCTGAGGAGAGGCTGAGGGACCTGATCTTATTTAGTGTACAGAAGAGAAGACTGAAGGGAGATTTAATAGCAATTACCTGAAAGTCCTCAATTACCTGAAGGAGGTTCGAAAGAGGATGGAGCTGGACTTTTCTCAGTGGTGGCAGATGTCAGAACAAGGAGCAATGGTCTCGAGTTGCAGCCAGCCGTTCTATTAACTGGTTTTCTAGTGCAATTTACATCTTTCTGAACTAAACTGTCCTGCAGATTATCTTGGTAGTGAGAACAAAACATATAATAAGTTTGAGTAGGAATACTTTAAAATCTCATTTATTTTACATTGATATAATCATCTGCTTCCCATCAGTCTGTCTATTCTGTTGGACTAAAAAGGACACTTCAACCATTGGAGTAGCTGGGCCAGGGCTGGGGAAGGAGGGCTAGGCAGTCATGCTCTCTCAACCCTGTAGAAAAACTCATACCCAGCTACTTATCTGTACTCTGGGTTCCTGGATTAAGCGTCTTGTGTTATACATTCTTATCCAGGACCATTCAGTACTTGTTAATGCTAACAACATTTGAGTATTGTGAAAACCCCACATCTCGTAGCATTGGATTACTTGCTGTAAGTCACTTCTTGGCCAATGGCATTCTGAGCCCATCTTATGGAAAACAGTACTGCCGTTAGGAATTTCCAGTGTAGTAATAATAATCATCTTGGTGATATTAATTAACTCATTTCCCTGATTAAATCACATTCTTTCTTTTACATATAATTGGCAAATGGAGGAAACATTTTAAAAAATAGGATAGCATAGTATTAGGAGGGATGATGCTGCCAGAGAGTGCAGATGTTTTTATCTGGCCTGGTGAACCTTCTCATTTTTCTTTATTCATTGACACAGGCATTCAGTGTGGTTGAAAACCCTTGATCTCATTCTGTGCTGCACTACGGTGTCACAAATCCCTTTTATTTTCAGAATGAAATCAAGTAGCCAACTAGATATTTTACAGACTCTTCATTCAAGATATGGTTTTAAAATATCAAATATTTCCATTTTTGCTCTTAATAGCACTTATGCAGTTGGCTTCATTAAAAATGGAGTGTTTCTCACTCTGCAGTCTTGTAGCAGGGATATTTTTATCATATAAGGTAGGTACCTAAAAAATTGGCTGCTGACTGCATATAGCACATGTAACTGCAGCATCTGAGATTGTCAAAGCCACTTGAGGGATTTAGATCCAGTTTTTCCACTGAAAACTAATTGGATTTGGTTGTTCAGATCCTCTAGATGGTTTTGATGCTCCCGGCAATGGTTTACCTGATAGAAATTCACCTGTTACATCAGTTGAGATATGCTAGAGTCACATAGATATGACCTGGGTATAAGAGTTCCTTTTTCCTTTAGGCTTTACCCTTTCTCATAGGTGGATCTGTGATTTTGAAAATGGGGAGGGCAGAGGGTATGGGGCTTCATCCCATATAAGATGACATTAATTTTTCTCTAGTTAAAGAGGAACCAGAAGGTTTATCAATATGCTAGATGGCCAGTGCTAAATTATTCAGTTTAAGATCAAAGCCAAAACAAATATAATGCTTGGGTCATATAGAATATAATGCTGGATTATATATAAAGTTTAAAAAAAGGACAACAAATTAGGCAAAAATAGTCAAATGATATGGTGTCATTAGTCCTGAAGTAATTATATTTAAATGTACATCCCTTATTCAGAGTCATAAAACAAAATCTAACCTCCTTGAGTGTCTTGACAGTGCCTTCAATACTTCACTGTCAGTCCTTTCTACACCTGCATTAATATTACCACACCTGAGTTAAGGTTTTTAGCTAGAGCTGAAAACAGTCTGCAAGGCTGTGAAACAGAAGAGTCATTACTAGGAATGGCTATCAGACAACAGAGTTGCAGAAGAAAGGATCATTTAAATAGTGGAAGTCAAGACCATTTAAAAGGGAAGAGTGGTTAACACCCATGGAGTAGAAAAAGATTAGCAAGAACCAGGTAGATGATAATGAACCATGAAGTCACCAGTACTTGTGACACTTGGGAGAGGTTCCTGAAGATTGGAAGAGGGCCAGTGTGATGCCTATCTTCATGAAAGGAAGGAAGGAAGATCCAGGGAACTACAAGACGATGAGTTAGACCTCAATCCCTGGAAAGGTCATGGAAAAAATTATTAAAGAATCCATCAACAATAGGCTAACAGAAAGTGTCATCCTGAGAGACAGCCAACATGGCTTCATTAAGGGTAGGTCATGCCTGACCAACCTCATCTCCTTCCATGATCAAGTGACACATCACCTGGACAGAAGGGGAGAGGCTGATGTAATTTACTTGGATTTCAAAAAAGCCTTTGACTTGGTCTCCCATGATGTCCTCATGACAAAATTGGGGACCTGCGGCCTTGACACCTTATGGTCTGAGGCTGGGGAACTGGCTCCATGGTCAGACCCAGACACAGATTGTTGATGAAACCGAGTCAACATGGTGCATGGTGACCAGTGGTGTCCCTCAGTGTTCAGTACTCGGACCGGTGCTCTTTAACATATTCATAAACAACCTGGATTTGGGTGTCAAAAGCAGACTGGCTAAGTTTGCAGATGACACCAAATTATGGGGAAGCATGGTCACACTACAGAATAGGCTGGGGATTCAGGCTGACTTGGACAGGCTTGCAAAGTGGGAAGATCAAAACCTAATGACTTTCAACACAGAGAAATGCAAGGTGCTCCACCTCAGGAGAAAGAACCCACAACATACCTAGAAGCTCGGCAGTGCTACACTCACTAGCACCATGGCCGAAAGGGACTTGGGGGTTATGATTGACCACAAGATAAATATGAGCCACCAATGCAATGTCACAGCTGCTAAAGCAAGCAAAACTGTGGCTTGCATCCATAGATACTTCTCAAGTAAATCCCAGGATGTCATTCTCCCATTGTACCCCGCCTTGGTGAGGCCACAGCTGGAGTACTGCATGCAATTCTGGGATCCACACTTTAGGAAGGATGTGGAGAAGCTTGAGAGAGTCCAGAGGAGAGCCATGCTCTGAGAGATCAGAGGTCAAGAGAACAGGCCTTATGAGGAGAGGCTGAGAGGCATAGGACTCTTCAGCTTTGGAAAGCGTAGGCTCAGGGGGGAGTTGGTGGCAGCCTATATGTATATTAGGGGTGCGCATCAGGATCTGGGAGAACATCTGTTCACCAGGGCACCCCTAAGGAAGACAAGGTGCAACGGTTACAAACTGCTGGAAGACTGTTTTGGACTGGACTTAAGGAAAAACTTCTTTACTGTCCACATCTCCGGAGTCTGGAATAGACTCCCCACAGAAGTGGTGCAAGCACCTACTCTGGACATGTTCAAGAAGCATTTGGATGTTTATCTTGCTGGGATGATCTGACCCCAGCTGACTTCCTGCCCTTTGGGCGGGGGGCTAGACCCGATGATCTTGCGAGGTCCCTTCCAGCCCTAACGTCTATGAAATCTATGAAGTCATTTGACTGTCTCATTGCTGCCAGGAAAGGGAGAGGAAAGGAAAGTCACTGCCTCTCCCAGAGAGTTTTTATTTTTGTTCGTTTGTTTTGTTTTTTAATTTCAGTGGAGCAGGACTCAAAGAGGGGAAGGAACTGCACCCCTACTGTCATGCTCCCCACTCTTCCCCCCCCCAACAGCCTTCCCCATCCTGGATCCACCTATATCAAACTATTTCGAAAAGGGAGTCTCCATATGGGGATTTGTACTGTTCCATCAGTTCGCAATCACATGCTTAAAGCAATACAACTTTCCTGTGTAGCCTTCAGCCAGTATGTATATATTCTTTACAGTGTGCTCGAGTGTCTGAATAATTTTGTCAACTTGTGTTTAGCTAATATAATCAGAAAAGGACCTGCTGAGTGCAGCAGCTGTGTCTGGAACCTCAGTGTATAAATGATACACTATAAAGACATTTTGTAAATGTAGTACCTGTGTCTGCTTCAGTTCATGATTCTCTGACATTTTTGCTTGCTACAGAATTTGTATTGTGTAGCTTTATTAAGTTTTAATATACTGGGGAAGAAATTGTTGTTCTGTGACCTCAAATTGTAGTAGCCAAAATACAGTGTAAGTTCTTATTTAAGGTAAGAGACAATAGGATGTTGCAGCCAGCGTGGAATGGAAGGAGGGCCTTGGGATTATGGCCTTGGACTGGGACTGAGAAATTCTGGAGTCAGTTTCTGGTTCTTCACCAGACTTCCTACATGGCCTCTGGAAAATCATTTATTTTCCCTGTGTCTCAGTTCCCCATCTGTAAAGCCCAAGATAACATGTCTTATCTCTGTAGATAGTTCCTGCCCCAAGGAACTTACGATCTTTTACTAGTTTACCACAATGTCGTATTTTCAGTTAGGCCTCTAGGAACAACTGTGATACAAATACGTTGTTGAATGATGGCATTCCATTTTCTGTTTATATAAAGTAAGAAAAGAGCTAAATGTTGCAGCTATACGACAAGGATTAATAGTCCATTATTTCCGTTTGTCTGTAGGTTAAAGAAAAAGTCCCAGTCTATAGATATTACTGCAGCAGGATGCAACCCTCTGGCAGCACCAGGACAACAGGCAACACATGCCAGGCCTGTCATTAAGACAGCCACTTCTGAAGAGGAGCAGAACAACACCACAAATACACAAAGACGTAATCCACGGAGAAGTGAGCTGAAGAGATACTACACTATTGGTGAGCTAAATGCCATTTTTTTCTTCAGATGTTTTTGTTTCCATTGCTGCAAGGGAGGCAGCTGAATTCTGGCCACTGATCAATCAGACATTTTTTAAGCTTGCCAGCTTTTTTACACTTATTGCGGGTTATATTTTTCTGCTGCTAATACTGGCATGCTTTTTCACAGAAAAATTCAACAGAAAAAAAACAATATATTAATAAGTAACCCTTCAAATAGCAAGATCTCTCTCTTTAATTTTATTAATGTTACGTGTGCTTTGGTTTGAACCTGATTATCAAGTTTGAGAAATGTCAGTTATGGCATCTGCAGTGATTGTCTTAAAGGAAATATAAACTGTGGTAGGTACCATAATTAGGAAGCAGTAAAGCAACTGTATTGTCATCCTTTGCCCCAGTGACTCTTGAATTTTTTCACATGGCTGCACAGCATCAAGAGGAGTCTAGGGTCCCATTACCCAGAACAGCCTGCAGCCAAGTAGTTAAGGCACTCTCTTGGAAAATGGCAGAAGTAGGTCTGAATCCTGTCAAACACAGGTCAGAATTGAACCTTTCTCCCACACCCTATGCATGTGCTCTAAACTAGACTTATTTGTAAAAGATAGGCACTAACTCCTTCTCTGTCTGTGCCTGAAAAGTAAGGTGTAAATCCCTACAGCCGATGTTAAGGGGCTAATTAAAGGTAATTAAAACACACGAGAAGAACTGTCAAACTTCTTAGGAGTCAGATGTGGGGCCACCTTCAGCAATTGAGTAAGTAGCATCAGAGAGCTGTCAGTTAATGCAGCCATCCTCTGCCCCATCCTCCCAACTCCAACCCCCCAAAATGTGCATCCCCAACAGGGCTCTGTACCCTGAATTTCAGTGGTGGACTCTGCCCCAAATTTCCAGCCTCCCTAGGAGCTGAGTGAAATGGCTCCATGGGTCATATCCAGCCCTCAGGCCATATATTTGATACCCCTATGCTAAAGGAGTTAAAAAAATTTGTTTCTCATTTCTGGGAAAGATAGTAGAATTTAAAAAAAATTAAAAGTATTGTAGTTTGGACTATGCTACCTGTGCAACTGCTTGCTTTAAGTGTTTTTGTTTTGTTTTTTTTAATAAAGGAGAAACGGTAGTAGCAGGATCTAAAACTTTTGCTATATGAACTATGTTATTCTGTGGTCTTAAATTTACAACAGTGACTAGTGATTTTGGTTGCCTCAATATTTGACTGCCTGGCAGCTTACAGGGGCCTGACTTCCAGGAAGTGGTGAGCACAACCTTCTGAAAAGTCTTTAGGGTATATCATTTCATGTCCTGTCCCCAAAAATGGGGCATGCAGAGTCATTAGTCACTTTGGTAAATTTTGAGCACTTCAGTCATGTTTTGGCCAATACTTTTGAAACAATACTTTAGATCTGCTCCCCTGAATATAAATGAAATGTGCAATTTGAGCTCTAGCTGAGAATTCTCGATTAACCTGCATTTGGGGGAATATGCCTCAGGAACTCAGCAGTAAAGGAGAAATTTCCTGAGATTTGCACTGCAGTAGAAATTAGGTTCCAGTTTCTGCACAGAGTAATCAAAGCAGAAAAAGGCAATTTATTTTTCAGTGCTGGAAGTCTGGTTAACATCATGTAGCACAATTGTTAATCAACAGGGGTTATATTTTTAAATGATATGCTACTAATCACATGTTGGTGTTTTGTAATGGCTATCTCCAGTTAGTTTCAGAAGTATTGTAGCACAGGAAAAGACTTAGAGACATAATTGCAAAACCAAAAAAAAAGGGAATTCAAAGTTCTATTGTGCCCCAGGATCCAACTGTAGACGGGCACATGTATTTGAGAGACATACAGTCTCGGACCTCAGTTAAACAAGATATCCCATTTGGTTGGTTTTTGTATCTGCACAGAGCTCTCCCATTTGATATAGTTTGCAAAATCAGGGGCTAAAATTGTAGGCCCACCTGTTCAGCTGATATGAATCCTCATGAGTGCACTGCAGTGAAAGGCTGTGACACCTTGCATCAGTTGAGATGCTGTCTCCAGAACTCTTTGGTCCAGGGGCTGTATTCCTGTGTTTGAAAGCAGTCCCTAACAGTGTGCACTACCACAATGAAGGTCAATGATGAGAATACTTACCGTGGTTCCATAACTGAGGCTAAATTGATGTTTCCAGTTAATCATAGAATCATAGAAAGTTAGAGCTGGAAGGAACCTTAGGAGGATATCCAATCCAACCTCCTGCTCTAATAGGACCATCCCCAACTATATAATCATCCTAGCCAAGGCTTTATCTAGCCAGGTCTTAAAAACCTCCAAGGATGGAGCAGGTGGGGTCTTCATGGAGACTGGTTCGGGACCCTTTCAGGTAGTGCATGCTTGGCCAGGTAGAAGGGGTGGGGCTGTAGGCAGGTGGGGAGTGACATCCAGGAGTCAGATGGGTGGGTGGGGCTGGGAATGCTGGGGCTGGGATTGTGGGTCAATGACAGCATGGGGCTGAGGCTCAAGGCAGAGCCGCAATCTGCTCCTGCACATCCCTGCAACAAGTGTTAGTTCTGCAAGCAGGAGCATGTGGGGAGTGGATCATGGCTTTGCCTCAGGCCCCAGCCCTGCACTGTCACTGCCCAAGTGATCCTGGCCTCTGCCCCTCCCGCTCAGGTGCTACTCTCTGCCAGCCCGCGGCCCCATCCCAGCCACCTAGCCAAGCAGGCTCTGCTCATGCAGGTACTGGGATGGTCTCTCTGGAGAGCCTACCTGCCTGTTGCATCCCAAGCTCCTAAGGTGGGTTCAAGATGGATGGGCTCAGGCTGGATAGGATCAAATGCCATCCCCCCATGCCAGGAAGGGTCTGCACTCCCTCTGCCCCCCTCATCATCCAGCACCACTCCCATGCTGCACTGGGCCAAGTCAACACCACCCATCCCCAAGCTGCGCTGGCTTCATCAGCACCCTTCCCCCGGCCCACAACAGGTCAGCAAAACTCCCTTTGTTGTCCTCCAACCCAAATAATTACCCACCCCTAGTCTAGCTCCATCCTCTTTGTAACCCCCCTTCAGGTATTTGAAGGCTGCTATTAAATCCTCTCTGTCTTGTCTTCTCTTCTCCAGACTAAATAAGATCAGTTCCTTCAGCCCCTCCTCAGAAATCATGTGCCTCAGCCCCTTAACAATGTCTGTTGCCCACCACTGGACTCTCTCCAGCTGGTCTACATTCTTTCCATGGAGGGGGGTGCTGGCAAAACTGGCTACAGTACTCCAGATGTGGCCTCACCAGTGCTGAATAGAGGGGAAGAATCATTTCCCTTGACCTGCTGGCAAAGCTCCTAGTTATGCAGTCCAGTATGCCATTAACCTTCTTTGCAACAAAGGCACACTGTTGGTTCATGTTCAGCTTATTGTTCACTGCAACCCCCAGGTCCGTTTCTGCAAAGCTGCTGCTTAGCTAGTTGGTCCCCAGCCTGTTACCAGTGCATGGGATTGTTCCATCCTAAGTGCAGGACTTTGCACTTGTCCTTCTTGAATCTTGTGAGACTTCTTTTGGTCCCATTCTCCAATTTGTCCAGGACTCTCTGAATCCTAGTCTTACCCTCCAGTGTATTTACTACTCCCCCCAGCTTGGTGTCATCTGCAAACTTGATGAGGGTACACTGCACCCCATCTTCCAGCTCGTTGATAAAGATATTGAAGAAAACCAGCCCCAGGACAAACCCTTGGAGTACTGCCCTTGATACTGGCTGCCAACTAGACATTTTGTCACTGACTGTTACCATCTGAGCCTGATGATCCAACCACTTTTCTCTCTGCCTTAGAGTCCATTCATCCAACCCATACTTTCTTAGTTTGCTTGCAAGAATGTTGTTGGAGATGGTATCAGAAGCCTTGCTAAAGTCAAGATATATCATGTCCACTGCTTTCCCCACGTCCACAAAGCCAGTCACCTCATTATAGAAGGCAATCAGGTTGGTCAGGCATGATTTGCCCTTGGTGAATCCATGTTGACTGTTCTTAATAACCTTTTTCTCCTCAAAGTGCTTAGAAATGGATTCCTTGAGGACCTGCTCCATGATTTTTCCAGAAGCTGAGGTGAGGCTGACTGGTCTGTAGTTCTCTGGATCCTCACCCGTCCCTTTCTTGAAGATGGGCACTTTATTTGCCCTTTTTGAAGCATCTGGGCTTTAATCTTGCAGGCTCCCCCACTCACACCCCGCCAATCAGTGGAGCGGCCCTGCCACTTGCTTCTGATCGGCAGGGAGGTAAAAACTGCAGTTTTAATTATGGCACTCTTTTTTTGCCTCCTTCCTGATCAGCAGCAAGCAGCCGGGCCACCAGGGCTCCCCAGCCAGTCAGCAATGGGGGGCATGCATGAGGGAACCTGCAAGATTAAAGGAGCTGCCGTGCAGCCCACTTCCACCATGAATTTGGTAGATTCCTAGCCATGAGTTTTGAAAGATGATGACCAGTGGCTCTGCAATTACATTGGCCGACTCCCTCAGCACCCATCCCTTCCGGCCCCATGGACTTCTACACATCCAGCTTTTCTAAAGAGTCCCTAACCTGTTGTTTTGCCATTGGCTGCTCCCCTTCTCCCCAAACTGTGCTGCCAGGTGCAGTAGTCTGGGAGCTGACCAGGCCTGTGAAGAGAGGTGAAAAAGGCATTGAGCACTTCACTCTCTTCTGCATCCTCTGTTACTAGGTTGCCTCTCCCATTCAATATGGGACCCGCGCTTTCCCATCTTCCTCTTGTTGCTAACATACTTGTAGAAGCTTTTCTTGTTACCCTTCACTCCCCTTGCTAGTTGAAACTGCAGTTGTGCTTTGGCCTTCATCCCTGCATGCCCGAGCAATACTGTTATACTCCTCCCTAGTTTTTCTGAAGTCTAGGGTCCTTACCCTGTTGCTCTCCTTCCTTCCTTTCCTCAGGATCCTGAACTGAGTCATCTCGTGGTCACTGCTGCCCAAGTTGCCATCCATTTCTACATATTTACAGTTCCCCACCAATTCTTCCCTGTTTGTA